CCACCACCTTCTCGCGGTTTCCGTCGAGCAACAATATGTACGTCGTATAAATTGGTTGTACACTATAGATACGTAAAACATATCATTTATTAAATACAAATATAATAGAAATATCGATTTAAATTAAAAGAGTGTGTTTTATGTTATTTTATTTTTAGTTTTTATTTTTGCTAAAAAGTTTTACAAATATTGTAGTAGTTTTACATATATTTCTATAAAAACATTTATTTAAAAGAAAAAAAACGCGTACATATTGGCCAAGAGTGGATAACTTATTATTTTATTTGTTGCATGTTTTGTACATATAGATTTATGTACACATACATATAAAGAAAATGTTACAATATTAAAGAAAAGTCAGAGAGCGAGCCGGGCGAACTCGGACATTTCTTACGCCGTTTACGACGTTATTGAGAGATGAACGTCGTATCGCACACTCGCTCGAGTGAGAGCGAGACAGAAAGTCATTTCTCTGTCTCTTTCTACTGCCCGACTGCGTCCGAAGTTCGAGCGCACACGTACACGGCATGAAGCTGTGTGCGTATCTCCTCCATGCTACCGCATGCTACCAAGCGGCCGGAATCTGGCATCCCTGAGGCACACCGCCCGCACCGCGGGCCTGCTTGACCTACGAGCGACAGCGTACCGCCCGCACCACGCGCCGCACCGCGTAACGAAGCAAACAACTAATTTACCGACCGCACCGTGCGCCCCGCCGCACTACAAAACTACTTGCGTGACAAACAATTTGTTATTTTCCGCGCATTTTGTCAACGCCGCCCCGCGGAAAACGACGGGTATAAACGCTGGGCCCAAAAGCGAAGAGATCAGATCCGCCTGATCTCCGAATCTATCGAAAAGCACCTAGGGAAGCTCCTTTCGATCGGGCAAATCAACAGCAACTCAAAGATTCGATCCTCTTCGGGAGAATAAGTTTCTTATTCTCTCCGACGGATAAACCGGCATCCGTTCCGCTCCGCTCCGGAAAATCTGCGATTCTCCGCCGGGAAAACCGGCATTCTTTCCGCTTCGTTCCGGGGAATCTCGTAGTCTCCGCCGGGCAAACCGGCATTCCTTTCGGGGAATCTTATATTCTCCGCCGGGCAAACCGGCTTTCCATTTGATCCGCTCCAGGGAAATCTCGTATTCTTCGCCGGGCAAAACCGGCCTTCCGTTTGATCCAGGAGAACGTTTTTCACTCACGAGCAACCGAAGGCGCCGTGCTATGCCCAGCGATAAAGCCGATCGACCTGCAGAAATAAATTTCCGTAAGAAAGCGTGTTTCTTTTGTTTAAAAATCACTGTGTAAATAGTCTCCGTACTCACTATACGAAAAGTTGCTTTACTGGAGCTCACTTTTCAAAAACTTACGTTTCAAGATATCTGTACTTAACTCACTTTTTCTAGAACTCACTTTTTAAAATATTGTTACTTAACTCACTTTTGCTAAAACTCACTTTTTAAGATATCTGTTGTAAAATTTACTATGTAAATACTTTCTTTTTTTTTAATAAATTCTTATTACTCTGTTTCTTGTTAAAGCATAACCGAGTCTACTCTGATTATTTTACCTTAACCAAACCCTGATCCCGACGAGCTATTCCGCAGCTTAAAAATAAATTTAACTAGATACGACGGAATAAGTTTTAACGAAAAAGTCGAACCGTTACAATATATTCTATGAAATGTTTCTCAATAATTCAAAAACTTTAAAATTATTGCCGTTAACTTTTAATAAGAATTAATAAAAATGTAATAATGCATCTTGAGATGTTTCACTTATCCTTATCAATAATATTATCTACTTTTTCCAAGATTGTAAGTCATAAAAAAGCATTTTGCGTTGTCGTATTGTCATACGCTACAAGCGCGCAACGAAATATTGCTTTCTAGCCTCAATGTCTTGCTTGCGTAGCGTGCTTGGTAGAAGCGAGGCAGAACATAGTATGTCTGCGCTCTTTCACGAGCCGAACATCCGAGCGTGACGTCACGCACACGGACGGCAATTCTCGCTTGCGTGCTCCCACCACCTTGGTGCTCTTGGTGCTAGCCTGCCAGATCTTTCATCACTGGGTGCAGTTCCTCATTCCGCGGCTACCTTGGCAAGTTACCTGGATTCTCGCATCCGCTCAATTATCCCTCGGAGTACGAGTGATCACCCCTGGGCCGTACGGAGAGACCTGCCCTGAGCTAACCAACCCGGAGCCACCTATCATTTACTTACGCAAATCGCAATACACCATATTTTCGGCAACATATTGCGCGATATTGAACTTGCGGAGTAGCTCGTCGAGATTTGATTTACGAACAATATAAGTCGCAAGAGGAAAGCGGAAGAGAACCAACCACACTTACGTTTGTTGGCGATTCTCCACAAATCGGTAACCGTTCTGCTCTCCCTTTTAAGGTCGTCTTAACAGGTCCTTCTCGGATGTTGTCCGGCACACAGTCTTACACTTCATCACGACATACATGAGAGACAATGAACTAGCGGGGTTGACGGTACGCGCAATACTGAATTTGGTTCTTTCGGAAATTGCTCTTCTCTCCGTGCGCCGTTCTTCGTTCTGTTTATTGAGCCAATCATATTCTTCCCTTCGCGGCGCTATGATTGACAGCGGCCACGTGCGCATCGGCAACGCATCGACGCGGGCCCTTTTCTGGCCGTATCTGCCCGTCATGCCTAAGTTTCTTTTATAAATGAGATTACTCAGGCCCATTTTCTTGCACCATGGGACCGATAACTCCTCAGAGAGCTCCGCTCCGGTTTTTGCATAGTCGGAATGCCTTCCGTTTTCTAGTCTATTGCCGACATGACCAAGCGCCTCGTGTCTTTGGTGTCCTTACGCCCCTGTGCCGTCTGTCTTTATCTTTCCTTACCTTCAATCTTCTCTACCTGCCGGTTACGTACAGTGTGTTGCTCTCTTCACGCTGAAAATAACTTACAAAATAGCCGCTGAGCGGCATGTCACATTACGCAAAGATATCGCAAACCAAAGTAAGCGCATTTGCCTGCGCTACGCAATCTAATGAGCTGCTCTCCCTCAAATAGTGGGAAAACGAGCTCACCGCATCCTTCTGGCCGGAAATGCATCCTTGTGACGGACACAAAAATTGTCACGTCACAGCGTATATGTATATTAATAATAAATGTATGTATATTAAGTTTACACGCCCATTCTTGAACTAAGAGAGATGAAATAGACTTAAAGTTTCTTACCATGCTAATTTGTAAGCCTCGTGTTCTTCTACGAGAATATTTTAAGTACAGGTTCACGATTACACGGAAATATTTTAAGTCCGACTACACGAAAATATTATAAGTTCAAACAGAGTGGTCTTTACTACCTGAAGTTCTGAATCTAAATGCGCTTCTGCCGGTCGCTTCGGCGTTTTTATACTCTTTAAAAAGAGGTGACGCTGCACTGTCCCAGGAGTCCGTCGTTCAACGGTTCTGGCGATCGACGGTTCCGCGCTCGCTCGGTTCTCGCGGTCGCGCGGTGTGCCTTATCTATGCGCGTACCGTATCTGTACCGCGATTGTTTGCTTGTTGAGACCAGCGTCTTTGGCTTTTATATGCACGTTTTGCCGTGAGAATATTAAAAAAGTATTAAAAGAATACTAGAGACATCCGTTTCTGACGAGCAAGTGCAACAACTGAGATACCTGCTGTGCTAGAGAGGCATTTGAGAGTGATAGAGGAGAAAAGGTGAAGTAAGAGTGAAAGCAGTGTGTAGAGAGTGTAGAGTGGAGTGTGAGAGAATGTAGGTGAAGGTGAGGGCGAAGGAAGAAGGTAAAGATTAGAGAAGCGAAAGAGATATAAATAGGTTTAGGAAGAGGGGTAAAGGAACCGTAGGTTTAAGAGTGTGGGAGGTGTAGAAGGTGCTGGAAGCGGATAGTGCTAGGAAATCTTGGGGAATTATAAGTGTGATCAATCTTAGGGAGAATGACAGAAAAGGAAAGCAAAATGGAAAAGATGAAGGAGGGATATAAAAAGGAAAAAGCGATGAGCGATAGTTCGACACTAGAAACGTGGATTAAGAGGAAACAGGAGTATGATGGAGAAGAGAGGGTAGAGAGGAAGAAGAAATATGTACAAAAAATAAAAGGATATAGGTATCGCCGAAGAAGAAGAGCGGGAAGGAGGAGGATAAGGAAGGAGAAGGGAGCGGTGGAAAGGATAGTGAGGAGAGGAAGGAAAGAGAGATGTGGGATATATTAGAAAGAAAAGAGATGACAAATTATATAGAAAAATTCAAGAAGATGGAAAAGAAAATGGAAGATTGAAAAAAGAGGGAAGAAAGATTAAGATTAGAAGGAGAGAAGATGAAGAGAAGAATAAAGGAGTTAGAGAAGAAATTAGAGAAGAAAGAGTATAAAGAGAAAGAGAAGAAAATGGAGAAAAAAGAGGGAAGCATAGAGAAAAATTTAAAAGAGAGAGTAAAGGTGATGGAAAGGAGTATAAAAGGAAAAGAGAGAGAGGAGAAGAGAAAGAAAAATTTTATAATAAAGAGAGTCTAAAATAAGAAGGGGGATTGGAGATGGGGGGTTGAAAAGTTATTAAGGGAAATAGGAGCAGATGTGAAGTTGGAGAGCATGAAAAGGCTGAATGTTGGGAGAAAAGATAGAGGTGAGTTGGTGTGGGTAAAGGTAAAAAAGAGAAAAACAAGAGAATGATATGGGAAAAGAAAAGAAATTGAAAGGGTAAGAAGATCTGGATAGAAGAAGATTTAACATGGAAGGAAAGAGAAGTGAGAAGAAGGCTAGATGTTTGGGTGGATGGGGACAGGAGAAGAATTGAGGGGAAATGGTAGAAGTGGAGTGAGGAAAAAAAGGTTTTGAAAAGAATAGGGAAAAGGGGAAGGAAGGAAGATGGGAGAAAGAAAGGGAGGGAGGGGGAAGAGAGGGGGAGAATAGTTGACGGGCCAAAAGGAAAAGGGAAAAAAAGTAAAGGAAAAGAAGAAAAAAGGGAGAAGAACGGAAGGAGGAAAAATTATAAAATGGCGTTTTGGAATGTGCCAGGACTGAAAAATAAGGATAAAGATTTCTGGGAAGGACTGAGAACTTGGGATATAATGATATTAATGGAAACGTGGGTGGATAAAAAGGAGTGGGAGAAATTTAGAAAGTTCTTGCCGGGAGGATATAAATGGAAGGTACAATGGGCGAGAAGGAAGAATAAGAAAGGGAAAGCCATTGAAGGAATCTTAATGTGAGTTAAGAGAGGAATAGAAATAGAACTCGGTTTGGGGATCAGGGGGACAGCCCCGGCCTTCCAAGGGCAGAGCTGACTGCCACCGAGCGCGTCCCCGGGTTGCGGATAAGGGAACGGCCTTAAATATTAAGGTTAGCTGCGAATAACCCCTTTGGGGGGAATAAGCAGTCGCGGACAAACAGCGGTGGATACTGAGGGGGGGTGGTCGCTCTTGTAGGAAAGGAGCGGCTTATAAAGTGCTCCATTAAACCTGATGAAGTATCCACGTCAAAGGCGAGTGAGTGCCGCCTTTAAAGCACTCTAACCCCCGGGCAAATTGGGCTCGTTAGGTTTTGTTTACCAACCGATCTAGGTAAAGGAAAACACCGATGTAAAACCAAATAAGGAAAAAAATATGATGGATAGCAAGACAAGCAAAGATTTACCGCCCCAGAGTGATCGGACACTCAGAGGACGGCACGGTGGGAGTACTGTCCCTGCTCTCGCCGCGTCGTTATCCAACGAAGGGCAGAAGGAGAGGTTGACGGCGGGCCCCTCTGAACAATCTGCTACCGCCGTAGCTGAGCAGTACAAAGAAAAGAGGAAGGCTGACAAGAGCCTGGAGTCGGCTCTTCAAGAGGATTTGGGGGTGGCCGATTGCTCCTTTGTTACGATGGGCATCGGCGCCCTCTTCGACCATGTGAGCAACTCCCTGGACGAGCCTTGGGAGCGACTTTGTCGTCGCTCCAAAATGTCCAGGGAGGAGAAAGCGGGCAGGCCAAGGGAGCTTCGAGACAAGATTGTTTCGGGTCTTCTTGAGCTCCAAGCCCGATTCACCCCTCTCCGTGAGACGATGGACGACATCCAGAGGGGTGTCACCAATGTGGCCAGTGTAGTGGAAAAAGTCGCTCGGGGGCAGGTTGCCTCTGAGCGACAAATTACGGAGGCCATCCTCCAGGTCAGCGAGGATCTTGATGAGGGTAATACCTCCTGCCTCGCTGACCTAAAGGAAATTAAGAAGGGTGTTGCGGGGGCGCGTGCGGCGATTGAGGAGGTCCATAATGAGGCTTCCCGGTCGCTTCACGCGCTTCACGAGAGCATGGAGACGTCGGTGCGTGCCATCGCTGACGTCTCCATGCCGAGGCCGGAAGAAGCTACATGCTCCACTCCAGTCAGGGGGAGGAGTCAGATTCCTCCCTCCAGGCTAGAGGAGATTGAGAGGGTGGTGCGATGCACCGTCTTGGGGGAGCTCCAAAAACTTTTGGAGCGGGGGCTCCCGAGACGGCCCCCACCTGTTAGTAGGAAATCTCCGATTCTCCCGCCTGTTCCTGTCAGGGCACAGACGGAGGAAAAGGAGCCAAGGAAGAAAAGAAAGAAGAAGAAGAAGAAGAAGGAGAAGAAGCAGGAGGTAAAGGCCACCAAGGCGCCTACGAAGGGTGGGGGGACGGCCGTTGGTGTCGGTCGAGGGGAGTCTTCCCCTCCTTTGACTCCACCTTCGTCAAGCCAGCGGCCGCCTCGCGGGGTACTCCCGCGTACTGAGGCGGTCACCTTGCGTCCTGAGGGGGAGAGCATGTCGTATGCCCAAGTCCTTCGAGACGCGAGGAATAAGGTAGACCCTAGGTCGGTGGGCGTCTCCAGGGTCCGTCGGACCCTGGAGGGGCACTTGTTGTTGGAGCTTGGAGGGGAGGACCGCAAATCCAAGGCGGATTTCCTCGCCACCAAGTTAAAAGAGGCTCTCCCCGAAGGAGTCAGTGTGGCTTGTCCATCCCGAAACGTGGAGATATTAGTTTCGGGATTGGACGAGTTCACCACGGAGGACGACCTCTCCAAAGAGTTCGTGGCAGAATTCGGTGGCGGGAGTGGCGTTAGGGTAGTATCCCTGCGTCGCTCTCAGCCCGTAGGTGGAATCGCCTTGGTTCGCTGCCCAGCTGAGGCGGCGGCCAAGGCAATTAGAGCAGGCAGATTGCCGGTGGGATGGGTAGTGGCGAAGGTGCGTGCACTCCGCCCCCGCCCCCTGCAGTGCTACAGGTGTTTCCAGCCTGGGCACTGCAGGGCTCTGTGATCCAGCCAGGTCGACCGCAGTAATCTTTGTGATCACTGTGGTCGGCCGGGGCACAGAGCGGCCGGCTGCACAGAGGATGAGGGGTGTCCCCTTTGTGAGGAGTCGGGCCGGGAGTCCTCCCACCGAATGGGTGGAGCCCGATGCTCGGCCATCGGTCGGGGGGCTTCCGTGCCCATTAATAAACCCCGGTGAAGGTAGGGAGGATGCGGATCTCCCCAGTTCCGATGTAATCGAAAAGATCCGGGTAGCCGCTCCTCCGTATATCTGGTGCGTTTAGCACCAGATATAATAGTAGGGAGCGCCTGGCCTCTCTTTTGGAGTCCAGGCGGTGATTAGTGGAAGCCCGGTCCCCATTGTTTTGGGCTCTAGCTGGGGCCCAACTCAGCGGTTACTGGGCGTAGTGCGGAGGGAGGACCTTCCTTTTGTCTCGTGATTTTTGAGACAAGAGGGAGGTCAGTATCAAGGCGTTAAGTCCGCTCCGGCGTTTGATTTGGGGCCGAGAGGGGTTTTTCCCTCATTGCACTCGGCCTGCAGATGGCGGAGGAGAGGTTGTGTCCCCCCTCCCCCGATCGTGGAGGAGCCTCACTCCTCCACCCAAAGGTTAGGGGGGCGTAAGTCCCCATGCCTGCTGGGCTGCTTCTGGGTTGTGCTAAAAGCGGTACCGGGGCAGCCCTATATGGGCTGAAGGTGAACACCGCAGGGGTTTTAGTGGGTATTTCCCACCGGGGTGCGCTCTGGTGGGATGAGTCCCACACTACCCTGGCCCACATCTAGTCTGGGTCAGGGTGTGCGTAAACGCATTTCCCCTGCGTAAAAAAAAAAAAAAGGAATAGAAATAGAAGAAGAAAGAGAAGAAGTGGATATAGAAGAGTTAATGACAAAGAAAGTGAGATTAAAGGATAGGTGATGGAGAATAATAGGAGTTTATGTGAACGAAGGGGTAGAGAAAAAGATGGGAGAATTACGGAATTGGATGGAAGGAAAAGAGGAAAGAGTAATAGTAGGAGGTGACTTTAATGCCAAGACAGAAGAGGAAGGAGGAGAGATAAAGGGACAAGAAGAGGAGGGAGAGGAAGGAAAAAAAGTCAAAAGATAAGAAGATTAATGCGGAGGGAAGGAGGCTGTTGAAGGAAATTGGAGAGTTGGGACGGACAATCTGGAATGGAAATATTAAAGAGATGAAGAAGGAGAATAAACATATACAGGTGAAAGAGGGGAAACAGTGATTGATTATGTGATGGGCGTTCCGGTGTCAAAGAAGGAGATAGAGAAACTGGAAGTGGTAGATAAAATAGATTTGGATCACCACCCAGTGGTGATATATATCAAAAAAAATAATTGGAAGAAGGGAAAGCAAGAAAAGAGAGAAGGAAAAAACATGAAGATAATTTGGACAATGGAGAAAAGGGAGAAATTGCAAAGGAGATACAAGAAAAAAGAACAGGTAAAAAAAGGATTGATAAGGAGTGGGAAGAGATAAAGAAAAAGATAGAAAAAGTGTGTGGAGGGCGGAGGGGAGGAGAAGAAGAGAAGAAAAGAGGTTAGTGGGATGAAGAGTATAAGAGAAGAAAAAAGTAAAAAAAGAGTTGAGGAGATGGAAAAGAGGCAAGGAAATTAGGGAAAGATATAGAGAAGAAAAAAAGAGATACAAGGAATTGTGCAAAAAGAAAAAAAAGAAAAGACTGAGAAGTGGGAGGAGATAGTGATGAAAGCAAAGACGGAAAGTCAAGTGTGGGAAATAGTAAATAAAGAAAGAAGAAAGTATAAAGGAAACAATAACGGTATAGAACTAGAGGAGTGAGAGGAATATTTTAAGAAACAACTTGGAGGTGTAAAATGGAAGGTGGTGCAGAGGGAGAGAAGAAAGGTGGGGAAAGATGAAGAGGAAGACATAAATAAGCAGAAAATAGAGAAAGCACTAAAAAGATGAAGGATGGGAAAGCGGTGGGTGGAGATGGAATTCCGTTGGAAGTGTAGAACTATAGAAGGGAGAAATTGAAGGAATGGGTAGAGTAGGTAGGATAGGTGAGTTGTGTCAGAGAGTATGGAGAGGAGAGGAGTGGGTGGATAAATGGAGTGAGCGAGTAATAGTACCGGTGCTTAAGAAGGGGCAGGAAAGTAAAGTAGAGGAATACAGAGGGATAACGCTGGTCAGCGTTTTACACAATATATGCGGAAATACTAGCGGAAAGAATAAGAGAGGAAGTAGAGGGAAAGAAAATAGTACCGGAGAACCAGGCAGCGTTCAGGAAGGGAAGGGGAACGATGGACAATATATATGCTTTACATTATTTGGCTAATAGAAATTTGGGAAAAAAGGGAGAGAAGTTGATAGCTTTTTTTGTGGACCGGAGGGCGGCGTTTGATTCGGTGATTATAGAAATATTGTTAAAAATGATAAGGAAAAGAGGAGTCAGGAAAAGGCTGGTGAGACGATGTAGGAACTTATGTAGGAAAACGAGAATTAGGGTAAGGGCAGTAGGAGAAATAGAGAAGGAATTCTGGACAGGTAGGGGAGTTAGGCAAAGTTGTCCTCTGAGTCTGATTTTATTCAACATAATGTTGTCGGACTTGGAGGAAAAGTTAAAAAAGGGAGGTTGGGGGGGGGGAGTGAAACTAAAAAGAGGGAAGATATATTCATTGGCTTATGCCAATGATATTGTTTTGTTAGCGGAAAATGAGGAAGGAATGGGAAATATGACGATAGGTTTTGAAAGGTATATAAGTGACAAGGGATAAGAAGAAAATGTATAAAAATCGAAGGTGATAAGATTTAGAAAGAGGGGAGGAAGGGAAAAGAAGAGAGAATGGTGGTGGAAGAGCGAGGCGAGTATAGAAGTTAAGACATTTAAATATCTGGGATATATATTCTAAAGGAATGGAGATACGGAGGCACAGGTGAGGGACAGAGTAAGAAGAGCGGCGGCGGTAATGCGACAAGTGTGGAGGATAGGGAAAAGGAGATTTGAAAAGGACAAGAAGAGAAGGATTTGGTTGTTTGATACGCTAGTCTGGTCGGTGATGAGATATGAAGTCGAAGTGTGGGGATAGAAAAAATGGGAAAATGTAGAGAAATTACAGGAAAGATTTATAAAATGGGTCCTGGGGGTAGATTGGAGGACGCCGGGGTACATGGTGAGGAAAGAGATAAAAAAAAAAAATGATGAAAGGAAAGACAGGAAGAAGAGCGTGGAAATTTGAAGAAAGGTTGGAAAGGGGGGAAGGAAGTGAAATTACAAGGAGATGTTGGGAGAAGATGAAGAAAAGAGCATTAGGAAGGAAGGAACTATCAGAGTGGGAGAAAAGAAGGATAGAATTTTATAAGACAAGAGGGATAGAAATAGGTGAGTAGGGAAGGGATAGAGAGGGAAGAGCGGGAATGGCACAAAAAAACTAATAGAAAATGAAAGGAGAATGCAAAGGGAGGAAAGATAGGAAAAGATAGGAAAGTCTAGGTATAATGAATGTTATAAAAGTATAAGAACAGAGGGTATACCGGGATATCTGAAAAAAGACCGGGGAGAGACCAGGTGGCAAAGGATGGCAAGATATAGGTTGGAAAATAAGATGAAGGGAGGAAAATATTGGAAAGAAGAGGAAAAAAAAGGTGTAGAGTGTGTAGATGGAGGAGGAGATATGAAAGCATGTATGGGAAGAATGTGGGAGATGGGGGGCGGTTGGTGATTGGGAAGAAAGGATAGAAGAGGTATTAAGGGGAGGAAAGAAGAGGAAATCAGGTTAAGAAGAATAGAGGAGTGGAGAAAAGTAAGCAGGAAAAGGAATGGTGAAGGAAAGAATGAATGTGAGAGAGAAATGAGAATGAACGAGAATGAATGAGAATGAATGAAAATGAATGGGAAAGAGTGAAGAAGAGAGAAAAGGGAGAATAAATGAGGGGGAGTGAATGGAAAATTAGAGAGAAATGGAAGAAAGGAAATGCGGCGGAAACGGAGGTCCTTGAGAGTAGGGCTAATGTGTGTGTGTGTGTGTACAGGTAGGTTAGAATAAGTAGGATAATTTTAAAGATTACCGACAATACTTAATATATCTACGGATATATCCACGGATATAACAACGGATAAAACCTTTGACCAATCTAAATACTTATTATTAGGCTGATTGAACGTTTTTTACGCGGCATTTCTAAAGTGATTTTGTAACTAAAAACGACTGGATACTGATTCTACAGACCAGACTGACTGAAATAATGGTTTTTACTGTTTGACTAATCAGAACGTTTGAACTGTGATATTTGGCCAATCAGATTTAATTTGCTTTTAAACTATTTATATTAATAAAATCTTTAAAAACTACTTTTTTAATTTTAAAAAAATTGTTTAACAAATGTATGTATACAACAAAAGTTTTTAAACAATTCTATTAATGTAGGTAAATATAGGTGTTCTTATCATAAAACTTTTGTATAAAACATTTTTTAATGTCTTTAATACTTTTCGAGATACATCGAGAAAAACGCAAAACCGTGTTATACATGATAAGTGTTTCACTCTTTAAAATCGGTTTTAGGCCGCTACTAAAAATTTTTACGTTTATGTAGTTATCTATACATGTGTACAAAGTTTAATTGTAAGAACATCTCTATGTAATCGTTGCTCGAAAACACTATCCTTATCTTATTTGTTATGTCGTTTGTAAAAACATTTCGGAAAAATTTCAATTATTTAAGCAAGAGCACATGCTGTCTTCAAACAAGACACACTATGTACTTATAACTCCATGAAAAATAAAACTTATTAAAACTAATCACCATCATGCATTACACTTGAAATGATATTTTATTAAATTCTTTTACAAATAAGATTAGTATTAACATACAAAGATGTTTTTTCGGGTTTGAACCGCGTTAGTGTCATTTTTATACCGACGTTTCGTGAACATTACAGCTCACTTCATCAGAGTTTGAAGAGCAGCCTGATACTGAGATGCTCTTGATCAGGTGTCCCTTTTTATAGNGCTAGATTGAAGTAGAAGGGGTGTGGTGGAGGAGGGGTGGAATGGTAAGAAGAAGGGGAGGATGGGGTTATGGCAAGATGGAATGCCATAGTGAACTAGTCATATGTCCATTGTCTCTATTGAGATTGTTTGAATGTTCGTATATCTCCAGAGATTCTGTATATTTTCTAGGGAAATAAGCCCTAGTTTTGTTTAGTACTTGGGTTTGGTCAAACGTAATTTTGTGACCAGTTTCCAAATAGTGTTCTGCTAATGCCGATTGTGAGTAATGTTTTAGACGTACTGCCGACTGATGTTCTTTTAGTCGTGTACTTATCATTCTACCAGTTTCATCTATGTATACTTTACCACATGAACAAGGTATTTTGTACACTCCTGGTGTGTCTAATGGCGGTCTTTTGTCTTTTGGATTGTTAAGAATCTGTCCTATTTTATTCGGTGGTTTGTAGACCGTTTGTATGTTGTGTTTGTTCAGAATTCTGCCAATCTTATCTGTGACACCCTTTATGTATGGGAGGTAAGTGGTTCGTTTCTTTAAGTTTGTTGTTTGTTCTGGTGCTGGTGTATTTTGAGAGGTGGTAGAGGGTTTGTTTTGATGTTTTTTAATTACTTTGTTTATTTGTTGCAGTGTGTAGCCATTTTGTTGTAGAGTGTTTTTTAATTCTTTGAGTTTGTTTTGAATGCTGTTTTTGTCGCATATAGTAAATGCTTTATAGATCAACAAGTTTATCACAGCTTGTTTTTGGGCTGGGTGATGATGTGATGCCGCGTGTAAATATCGATTGGTGTGGGTAGGTTTTCTATAGATTTGGTGGCCTAAAGAGCCGTCTGGTTTTCTTGTGATCAGAACATCTAAAAATGGAAGTTTACCATGTTGTTCTGTTTCTAATGTGAAGGTAATGTTTGGGTGTTGTTTATTGAAAAAATCTAAAAAGTTATAGAGTTTTCTCTCTCCATGTTGCCAAATGACAAAGGTGTCATCTACGTACCGGTACCATGTTTGTGGCTTTAGTGGGACTTTTATGATGGCCTGGGAATCGAAGTGTTCCATAAATATGTTTGCTATGATTGGAGATATCGGTGATCCCATAGCTGCACCTGTGATTTGTTTATAGAATTGGTTATTGTAGGTGAAATAGGTAGTGGTCAGGCAATGTTCTACCAATGATATAAGGTCGGATGATAGTTGACCTAAAGATTATTAACATAATTAAATCTTCAGGTTAACTATCATCCGACCTTATATCATTGGTACAACATTGCCTGACCACTACCTATTTCACCTACAATAACCAATTCTAAAAACAAATCACAGCTGCATGATCTATAGAGCATTTACTATATGCGACAAAAACAGCATTCAAAACGAACTCAAAAAATTAAAAAACACTCTACAACAAAATGGCTACACACTGCAACAAATAAACAAAATAATTAAAAAAAAACATCAAAATAAACCCTCTACCACCTCTCAAAATACACCAGCACCAGAACAAACAACACATTTAAAGAAACGAACCACTTACCTCCCATACATAAAGGGTGTCACAGATAAGATTGGCAGAATTCTGAACAAACACAACATACAAACGGTCTACAAACCACCGAATAAAATAGGACAGATTCTTAACAATCCAAAAGACAAAAGACCGCCATTAGACACACCAGGAGTGTACAAAATACCTTGTTCATGCGGTAAAGTATACATAG